TCTAGACGATATCATGAAAGGTAATGGGAGCAATCCTATTATCTGTCTCTGTGCGGGAGGCAACGATGTAGGCAGACGAAGGAGTGAAGACCTGATTAGCAGGTATAGGACAGCACTAGAGATAATTAGGAAGAAGGGTGGGAATCCTGTGATATGTGGCATTTTGCCCAGGAGAGGAGCTGGAAATGAATGGTTGTCCAGGGCAATTGGTGTCAATTGCTGGCTGGACAAACACTAAGGAAAATTCAGTAACATTCATAGACAACTGGGACCTCTTCTACGGTAGAAATGACATGTATGCCAGGGATGGGGTTCACTTATCTAGGTTTGGGGTGGGAGCACTGGCCAACGTAGTGGAAGGAGCTGTTAGGTCTTTAAAGTAGAAACAGATAGTGGTATGGGTTTTTTTTTGTGCAAAATCAATGAATTCTCAGTGTAGCGACAGTGTGAGTTTTAGGGAAACCAGTAACAGGCAGAATGTGGCAGAGTTATTGGAGAATATTGGAAACCCAGTGGCACTAGATGACAAGGACAGTAACAGATATAGTGGAGGAACAGAAATCAGCAAGAAGAGAAAAGAGAAAGGAGGTTTTCTAAAGATATTTTATACTAATACAAGTAGTGCGAGAAATAAGATGGACGAACTGAGATTAGTTGCCAGTGTGGGTAACATTGATGTTTTTGCCATAACTGAGACGTGGTTCAATGTGAAAAATCGGGACATGCCTGCTGAATGCCACATTCAGGGTTTTAAAGTGTTTCAAGTAGATAGAAGTATCGGTAAGGGGGGTGGGGTGGAACTCTATGTCCGAGATCGTTTAAATTGTTGCATAAAAACAGGTATAAAGCCTGAAATAATACAGAGTCCCTCTGGATATAATTTTCAGAGGGGTACGAGAAATTTATTTTAGGCGTGATATACCGTCCCCCAAACTTGGATAGGAACCAAAGGAGACTACTTTCGGAGGAAATTGTTAAGGCCACAAGGCATGAAATGTAGTAATTCTAGGGGACTTCAACGTTAGTCAGATTGATTGAAATTTTTTGACTGGGAATTTAGAATCTAACGACTTACTAGTAGTTCAGGATTGTTTTATGAAGCAGTTTGTGACAGAACCTACAAGGGGAAATAACCTACTTGACTTGGTTCTGGCAAACAAGGAAACCCTTGTTAATATTTTAGAAATTACAGAGGAATTCGGCGCAGGCAGGCGACCACATATCAATTACCGTAAGCATTGAATGGAAGTATGATAGTAGGAACAACTCAGTAACGGTCCCAGATTTTCACTTATCAGATTACAGTGGGTTTAGAGAACACTTATCATCTGTTGACTGGGATAACGAAGAGAGCTATAGATATGATAGCTTTCTAAACACTATACATGCAGCCCAAAGAACGTTCATCCCGTATAAAGAAATTAGATTGAATAGAAATGACCCAAAATGGATGAGCAATAGGCTCAAATATCTTTTAGGGCAAAAGAAATGAATTTATAGGCGCATCAAAAGAGGTGAGGGTCATCTTATGAATCAGTATACTGACATTAAAAGGGACATTAAAAAGGGGATAAGAAAAGCTAAAAGGGACTACGAAATTAAAGTTGCTAGAGATTCGAAAACTAACCCAAAATGTTTTTCCCAGATTTATAGAACAAAAGTTAGAGGTAAGATAGGTCCCCTTAAAAATAACTTTGGGCATCTTACTGACAAAGAGAATGAAATGCGCTCAGTTTTTAATAATTATTTTCTCTCGGTTTTCACACAGGAAGACACTAATATCCCAGTAATTAATTTTTATAGTGGGTATGAAGACGATAAATTATGTAATATTACAGTCACTAGTGAAATGGTTATCCAACAAGTAGACCGACTGAAACAAATTAATTCCCGGGACCTGATGATTTTTTTTCAAGGGTTCTTAAGGAATGCAAAATGGAACTCTGTGAACCATTAACTAATATTTTTAATTTATCTCTACAAACAGGTGTAGTGTCTGATATGTGGAAGATGGCTAATGTAACTCCTATTTTTAAAGCAGGGGACAAGTCGTTACCGTCAAATTACCGCCCAATAAGCCTGACCTCAATTGTAGACAAATTACTAGAGTCAATTATAGCTGATAATATAAGAAGTCACCTGAATAGGCATAATTTGATTAATGATACTCAACATGGTTTCACGAGGGGCCGTTCCTGCCTAACTAATTTACTAACTTCCTTCAGTAATAGCAAACATAGAACTTAAGCTAAAGGAATCTTATAGGAATCTTATAGAAACCCAAAGTATTTCTTTTCTTATGCCAAATCAAAGTCGATAATAACATCCAGTATTGGGCCCCTACTTAAACAAGATGGGTCCTACACAGATGACAGCAAGGAAATGAGTGAGCTACTCAAGTCCCAATATGACTCAGTTTTTAGCAAGCCGCTAATAAGACAGAGTCGAAGATCAAAATTAATTTTTTATGAGCCACAGAATTTGGTTAACACAAGCTATCTGATATCATCCTGACACCAAATGACTTCGAACAGGCGATAAATACTCCACAAAGGGGGCAGTAAAGCAATAGCAAAGAACTACAGACCGATAGCACTAACATCCCATATCATAAAAGTGTTTGAAAGGGTCCTAAGATACAAGATCGCCACCCATCTAGATACCCATCAATTACACAACCCAGGGCAACATGGGTTTAGAGCAGGTCGCTGTCTGTCTCAACTACTGGATCACTACGATAAGGTCCTAGATGCACTAGAAGACAAAAAGAATGCAGATGTAATATATACAGACTTTGCAAATGCCTTCGACAAGTGTGACCATGGTGTAATAGCGCACAAAATGCGTGCAAAAGGAATAACAGGAAAAGTCGGTAGATGGATCTATAATTTCCTCACAAACATAACAGTAAGAGTAGTAGTCAACAGAGTAAAGTCTGAGACGGCTACGGTGAAAAGCTCTGTTCCACAAGGCACAGTACTCGCTCCCATATTGTTTCTCATCTTCATGTCTGACATAGACAAGGATGTCAGCCACAGCACCGTGTCTTCCTTTGCAGATGACACCCGAATCTGCATGACAGTGTCTTCCATTGCAGACACTGCAAGGCTCCAGGCGGACATCAACCAAATCTTTCAGTGGGCTGCAGAAAACAATGTGAAGTTCAACGATGAGAAATTTCAATTACTCCGATAAGGTAAACATGAGGAAATTAAAACTTCATCAGAGTACAAAACAAATTCCTTCCGCAAAATAGAGCGAGAAACCAACGTCAAAGACCTGGGAGTGATCATGTCGGAGGATCTCACCTTCAAGGACCATAACATTGTATCAATCGCATCTGCTAGAAAAATGACAGGATAGATAATGAGAACCTTCAAAACTAGGGATGCCAAGCCCATGATGACACTCTTCAGGTCACTTGTTCTACCTAGGCTGGAATATTGCTGCACACTAACAGCACCTTTCAAAGCAGGTGAAATTGCTGACCTAGAAAATGTACAGAGAACCTTCACGGCGCGCATAACGGAGATAAAACACCTCAATTACTGGGAGCGCTTGAGGTTCCTAAACCTGTATTCCCTGGAACGCAGGAGGGAGAGATACATGATTATATACACCTGGAAAATCCTAGAGGGACAGTACCGAACTTGCACACGAAAATCACTCACAACGAAAACAAAAGACTCGGCAGACGATGCAACGTCCCTCCAATAAAAGCAGGGGTGTCACTATCACATTAAGAGACAATACAATAAGTGTCAGGGGTCCGAGACTGTTCAACTGCCTCCCAGCATACATAAGGGGGATTACCAATAGACCCTTGGGCGTCTTCAAGCAGGCACTGGACAAGCACCTAAAGTCGGTACCTGACCAGCCGGGCTGTGACTCGTACGTTGGAATGCGTGCAGCCAGCAGTAACAGCCTGGTTGATCAGGCTCTGATCCACCAGGAGGTCTGGTCACAGACTGGGCCGCGGGGGCGTTGGCCCCCGGAGCTCTCTCCAGGTAAACTCCAGTAAAGCTTTTGAGGCCGTTAATCATGATAAAGAATTCATTCAATATTGATAAATTAGACACATGTGCAACTCTTGGGTATCTTTATTGAGGAAACGTTTCGCCACACAGTGGCTTCATCAGTCCATACAAAGGAGAATCTTGAAGAACAGGAGGAGAATGAGGTAATCAGTCCCTCAACCTTGAGTCGATGTGGTCAGTCCATCAATCTTGATCCATTCTATTCAAGATTGATGGACTGACCACATCGACTCAAGGTTGAGGGACTGATTACCTCATTCTCCTCCTGTTCTTCAAGATTCTCCTTTGTATGGACTGATGAAGCCACTGTGTGGCGAAACGTTTCCTCAATAAAGATACCCAAGAGTTGCACATGTGTCTAATTTATCAACATGTCGGTTCTCTGAACCATTCATCTACAGTCAATATTGTTTATTTGGGTTTTAGTAAGGCTTTTGATAGAGTACCATATTATCAGAGATTGTTAAAGAAAGTGGCAGCTCATGGCACTGGGGAAAAAGTGCTGTCATGGATCGAGTCATGGCTCACCAATAGGAAGCCGAGTGTGCATAAATGGGGTTAAGTCTGAGTGGGGATCTGTAACAAGTGGCGTTCCACAGGGATCAGTTTTAGGCTCATAATTGTTTAAAATATATATAAATCCCAGTAATTTGTTTACCTTATTACGTACGCTGATGATGGTCATGACAATAAGAGGCATGATGATGAGTTTGTTGATAATGATGATGGCCTTGATGATCATGATCTTGATGATAATGCTGATGGTGATGATGACAGTAATAGTAACGAGCATCTCTCTAATGGGACGGAGAATTAAGTCTCCACCAATCCTGTCGCTGAATTATCCAGAAAAAGGTTTAGCCTTTGATAAAACGTACAATAATAATAATAATAACAATAATAATAATAAGCATAATAATTTTTAATAATTATAATCCTCACAGAGAGATGTACATCAGATACCTTGTTCCTGAGCTTCATGTCAGCCATTTGTGCTCTGATCTCAGCCATACGAGCCCTGGTCTTGGTCTCTTCCTCAGACACATGTGTGTGTGTCGTCTCCTCTCCGCCACCGCTGCAACACACACCTTCACAATTAACAATAAATCACAGTACATAGCATTTGCATTCTTTATTTCTGCAAGGAAAATATATTTTTCGCCCTCTTCTAGAATAAGTTACGGTTTTGTCTTACTACAACTGCAGAGTTGAAGCACATTATAAAATGTTGAAGCACATTATAAAACGAGAGAAGGCTATTCTTCATAATAACGTATGATGATTTTTTTTTGTCAGTTCCTCCCCAAAAAAAAATAATGATTTAATAGCATTCTCAGATAACCTGAGTGTCCAAAGTGAGATCTCACAATGTTGTGAAAGATGCGGGACTTGTATTAAGAAAGATGCGAGACTTATATTAAGAAAGATGCGAGACTTATATTAAGAAAGATGCGAGACTTATATTAAGAAAGATGCGAGACTTATATTAAAAAGATGCGAGACTTATATTAAGAAAGATGCGAGACTTATATTAAGAAAGATGCGAGACTTATATTAAGAAAGATGCGAGACTTATATTAAGAAAGATGCGAGACTTATATTAAGAAAGATGCGAGACTTATATTAAGAAAGATGCGGGACTTATATTAAGAAAGATGCGGGACTTATATTAAGAAAGATGCAGGACTTATATTAAGAAAGATGCGAGACTTATATTAAGAAAATGCGGGACTTATATTAAGAAAGATGCAGGACTTATATAAGAAAGATGCGGGACTTATATTAAGAAAGATGCGGGACTTATATTAAAAGATGCGGGACTTATATTAAGAAAGATGCAGGACTTATATTAAGAAAGATGCGAGACTTATATTAAGAAAGATGCGGGACTTATATTAAGAAAGATGCAGGACTTATATTAAGAAAGATGCGGGACTTATATTAAGAAAGATGCGGGACTTATATTAAGAAAGATCGAGACTATATTAAGAAAGATGCAGGACTTATATTAAGAAAGATGCGAGACTTATATTAAGAAAGATGCGGGACTTATATTAAGAAAGATGCAGGACTTATATTAAGAAAGATGCGGGACTTATATTAAGAAAGATGGGGACTATATTAAGAAAGATGCAGGACTTATATTAAGAAAGATGCAGGACTTATATTAAGAAAGATGCGGGACTTATATTAAGAAAGATGCAGGACTTATATTAAGAAAGATGCAGGACTTATATTAAGAAAGATGCAGGACTTATATTAAGAAAGATGCGGGACTTATATTAAGAAAGATGCGAGACTTATATTAAGAAAGATGCAGGACTTATATTAAGAAAGATGCGAGACTTATATTAAGAAAGATGCGGGACTTATATTAAGAAAGATGCAGGACTTATATTAAGAAAGATGCGGGACTTATATTAAGAAAGATGCGGGACTTATATTAAGAAAGATGCAGGACTTATATTAAGAAAGATGCAGGACTTATATTAAGAAAGATGCGGGACTTATATTAAGAAAGATGCAGGACTTATATTAAGAAAGATGCAGGACTTATATTAAGAAAGATGCAGGACTTATATTAAGAAAGATGCGGGACTTATATTAAGAAAGATGCAGGACTTATATTAAGAAAGATGCAGGACTTATATTAAGAAAGATGCAGGACTTATATTAAGAAAGATGCAGGACTTATATTAGGAAAGATGCGGACTTATATTAAGAAAGATGCAGGACTTATAATAAGAAAGATGCAGGACTTATATTAAGAAAGATGCAGGACTTATATTAAGAAAGATGCAGGACTTATATTAAGAAAGATGCAGGACTTATATTAAGAAAGATGCAGGACTTATATTAAGAAAGATGCAGGACTTATATTAAGAAAAATGCGGGACTTATATTAAGAAAGATGCAGGACTTATATTAAGAAAGATGCAGGACTTATATTAAGAAAGATGCAGGACTTATATTAAGAAAGATGCAGGACTTATATTATTAAGAAAGATGCGGGACTTATATTAAGAAAGATGCAGGACTTATATTAAGAAAGATGCGGGACTTGTATTAAGAAAGATGCGAGACTTATATAAAGAAAGATGCGAGACTTATATTAAAGAAAGAAAGCGGGACTTATATTAAGAAAGATGCGAGACTATATTAAGAAAGATGCGAGACTTATATTAAGAAAGATGCGAGACTTATATTAAGAAAGATGCGGGACTTATATTAAGAAAGATGCGAGACTTATATTAAGAAAGATGCGAGACTTATATTAAGAAAGATGCGGGACTTGTATTAAGAAAGATGCGAGACTTATATTAAGAAAGATGCGAGACTTATATTAAGAAAGATGCGAGACTTATATTAAGAAAGATGCGAGACTTATATTAAGAAAGATGCGAGACTTATATTAAGAAAGATGCGAGACTATATTAAGAAAGATGCGAGACTTATATTAAGAAAGAGCGAGACTTATATTAAGAAAGATGCGAGACTTATAAATTAAGAAAGATGCGGGACTTATATTAAGAAAGATGCGGGGACTTATATTAAGAAAGATGCGGGACTTATATTAAGAAAGATGCAGGACTTATATTAAGAAAGATGCGAGACTTATATTAAGAAAGATGCGGGACTTATATTAAGAAAGATGCAGGACTTATATTAAGAAAGATGCGGGACTTATTAAGAAAGATTGCGGGGCTTATATTAAGAAAGATGCGGGACTTATATTAAGAAAGATGCAGGACTTATATTAAGAAAGATGCGAGACTTATATAAGAAAGATGCGGGACTTATATTAAGAAAAGATGCAGGACTTATATTAAGAAAGATGCGGGACCTTATATTAAGAAAGATGCGGGACTTTAATTAAGAAAGATGCGAGACTTATATTAAGAAAGATGCAAAGACTTATATTAAGAAAGATGCGAGACTTATATTAAGAAAGATGCGGGACTTATATTAAGAAAGATGCAGGACTTATATTAAGAAAGATTTCGGGACTTATATTAAGAAAGATGCGGGACTTATATTTAAAAAAGATGCAGGACTTATATAAGAAAGATGCAGGACTTATAAATAAGAAAGATGCGGGACTTATATTAAGAAAGATGCAGGACTATATTTAAGAAGATGCAGGACTTATATTAAGAAAGATTGCAGGACTTATATTAAGAAAGATGCGGGACTTATATTAAGAAAGATGCGAGACTTATATTAAGAAAGAGCAGGACTTATATTAAGAAAAATGCGAGACTTATATTAAGAAAGATGCGGGACTTATATTAAGAAAGATGCAGGACTTATATTAAGAAAGATGCGGGACTTATATTAAGAAAGATGCGGACTTATATAAGAAAGATGCAGGACTATATTAAGAAAGATGCGGACTATATTAAGAAAGATGCAGGACTTATATTAAGGAAAGATGCAGGACTTATATTAAGAAAGATGCAGGACTTATATTAAGAAAGATGCAGGACTTATATTAAGAAAGATGCAGGACTTATATTAAGAAAGATGCAGGACTTATATTAAGAAAGATGCAGGACTTATATTAAGAAAGATGCAGGACTTATATTAGGAAAGATGCGGGACTTATATTAAGAAAGATGCAGGACTTATATTAAGAAAGATGCAGGACTTATATTAAGAAAGATGCAGGACTTATATTAAGAAAGATGCAGACTTATATTAAGAAGATGCAGGACTTATATTAAGAAAGATGCAGGACTTATATTAAGAAAGATGCAGGACTTATATTAAGAAAAATGCGGGACTTATATTAAGAAAGATGCAGGACTTATATTAAGAAAGATGCAGGACTTATATTAAGAAAGATGCAGGACTTATATTAAGAAAGATGCAGGACTTATATTATTAAGAAAGATGCGGGACTTATATTAAGAAAGATGCAGGACTTATATTAAGAAAGATGCGGGACTTGTATTAAGAAAGATGCGAGACTTATATAAAGAAAGATGCGAGACTTATATTAAGAAAGATGCGGGACTTATATTAAGAAAGATGCGGACTTATATAAGAAAGATGCAGGACTTATATAAGAAAGATGTAGGACTTATATTAAGAAAGATGCGGGACTTATATTAAGAAAGATGCAGGACTTAATTAAGAAAGATGCGAGACTATATTAAGAAAGATGCGGGACTTATATTAAAGAAAGATGCAGGACTTATATTAAGAAAGATGCGGGACTTAAATTAAGAAAGATGCGGGACTTATATTAAGAAAGATGCAGGACTTATATAAGAAAGATGCAGGACTTATATAGAAAGATGCGGGACTTATATTAAGAAAGATGCAGGACTTATATTAAGAAAGATGCAGGACTTATATTAAGAAAGATGCAGGACTTATATTAAGAAAGATGCGGGACTTATATTAAGAAAGATGCAGGACTTATATTTTAAGAAAGATGCAGGACTTATATTAAGAAAGATGCAGACTTATATTAAGAAAGTGCAGACTTATATTAGGAAAGATGCGGGACTTATATTAAGAAAGATGCAGGACTTATATAAGAAAGATGCAGGACTTTATTTAAGAAAGATGCAGGACTTATATTAAAAAGATGCAGGACTTATATTAAGAAAGATGCAGGACTTATATAAGAAAGATGCAGGACTTATATTAAGAAAGATGCAGGACTTATATTAAGAAAAATGCCGGGACTTATATTAAGAAAGATGCAGGACTTATAATTTAAAAAAGATGCAGGACTAATATTAAGAAAGATGCAGGACTTATATTAAGAAAGATGCAGGACTTATTATTATTAAGAAAGATGCGGGACTTATATTAAGAAAGATGCAGGACTTATATTAAGAAAGATGCGGGACTTGTATTAAGAAAGATGCGAGACTTATATTAAGAAAGATGCGAGACTTATATTAAGAAAGATGCGGGACTTATATTAAGAAAGATGCGGGACTTATATTAAGAAAGATGCGGGACTTATATTAAGAAAGATGCGGGACTTGTATTAAGAAAGATGCGGGACTTATATTAAGAAAGGTGCGGGACTTATATTAAGAAAGATGCGGGACTTAT